TTTATCTGAATTTTTTGGGGGGGGTGCCGGGGATCAAGCTCAGGACCTAGCGCTTGCGAGGCAGGTGGCAGTGCCACTGAGCTAAAGCCCCAGCCCAATGTTTGATATATTTGGGGAACTGCAAGTCATTCTGTGGGACAATGGATAACATCTAGAGATGGGACTATCTAGAACAATCCAAATGACAGTCCTTATGAAAATGGAGATGGATAGAACAATTATTCAGGTAAATTCAAGAAGGGAACCCACAAAATTAATTACACTAACCCCTGAATAAGTGAAATGCACCTAGTACTCTATATTTAACTTGCTGATTCAGTGCGAAGGGCCTCCCTTGCCCACCATGGAAGGCAAGGGTGGAAAAGCAGTTATGCAGAAGTCATTCCACAAGATCAGTGAAAGGCAAATGCACAGACCACTGCTGCTGCCTAAGGCCCAAGATTTCAGCTGAAGTAAGCAATAGTCAAAAGCCTGGGAGGAAAACCTGAGGAAAAAGATTCCTCAGAACATAGAAAGTCCTGTGTGGGTTTATACAGGGAAATCTAGCAAACAATCTCCACACCCAAGGTAGTCTGTGTGCTCAGAACAAGCAGGAAATGAAGGATAAGACAGAGGTGCAAACGACCTGGCTAAGCACTTCAAGGACTGTCACTACACAGAGCCAATCTACAAGACTGAGATGGTATCTGTATTTCTTAGGTCCCGGCAATCAGGGAAATCTCTTTCAAAATACTAGATGACCACAAGCTAAAGGAATGGAGACTTCAGAGACCATAGACAATAAAAAATACAATCATTACAAAATAGTTTAGAAAAGCCACTAAACAAATAAACAACTACAACCCACACATGCAATAAAAACAAACCCTAAAGGGAAGAACCATGATTTCTACAGTTATCACATTATAATAATCAGATGTCTAATATCTGACCAAAAATAAAAACTTACAGAGCATGCAAAGAAATAATAAGGTATCACCCAATCACAGGAGAAACTATTAAAAACTATCTCTGAGAAAGTACAGACTTAGGTAAACAAAAACTTTATGTTTGAAGAACTACAGGAAACCACAGACATAGTTAAGGGAAACAAGAAAAGTGATGTCTCAACCAATAGGGAACATTAATAGAGATTTATAAATGTCATTATCACAACCTCAAACTAATACATTATTTTCATTCTTACAAAAAGCAAGTTAATAAAATGAATATTCTGTATAAAATTTACTCAGTGGGATTCACTAACAAATCCTTCTCGCCTATTTCTAACTTGCAGTTATAATAAACCTTTAAAATCAAAATACTGCCGTAATTAAACTGTTAAAAACTTCCAAAATCAAGTTCTGAATCTAATACAACAAATGTTAAGGCTTAAAGTAGTAACAAAACTTCAGACTATGTGATAAGAGTTTTGTGCCTCAGGGACTTATATTTTAATTTTAAGTATGTTCCATGATTCCACCCAGCTACTTCCATTTCAATTTCACCTATAAAGCGAAAACAGAAGTATAACATATTCAAACAGCACCTTAATGCATAGTCTAGAAACACATGGCTCTTTTTATAAGGAAATAAAATAGAAAATTTAATACGAGAGAACAGCCCTGCTATCCGAGTATCACCTATAATTTCATACACTATATTCCTACTTGGGAATATACCTCCCAAACTGTATACCTCCTTTCTCTTCTGCCACAAAAACACATCCCCCAGCATCAGTGTGAAAACAATCATGATGCCCCTAACCCATCCTTTGGCCAACATTTCTGACCCTAGAGTCTATTTTTCTACCTTCTTCCTCCAACTGCCCAGCCCCATCCTGTAATCTCCAACTTCTTACTCTCAGTTTTAAAAAATTCTTCCCTTCCTCCAAAGAAACATGCACTCTAGGAGCTACCACAATAACCTGTACCTCTCCCTTTAAGAAGTGATGTGAAGCTGATATGCCTCCCCACTGGGATACACAACACGAATACTGAAAACTACACACCATCTTCCATTCTATCCAATTTCAATGGCACAGCTGCATAGAATTAAGGAAATTCTATTCATCAGAGCCTCCGAATTCCTTCCCTATCCACATCCCACATCCCTAACACTAAAGACTCTACCCAAGAGCCTACCTTACCGTGAAGGAGGTCTTCTCTTTAGCAATTTCAGTCTACTGTAACAATGGGAGGTTGCCAACAACCAAGGCAAAAGAATGGAAAATCTCTTCTCATCACCAAAATAAGAGGGAAAAGGCCCTCACACTTTTACAGTAAGTAAAGAATAACTTTCTCTTCTTAAGTTCCTGACTTTAGATTCCAAGAACCTCACCTTCGTGCCACTTGAGCAAAGCATTTCCATTAAATACTCTAGACTTCTTCACAATCTAGAACTCTTCTAAAATTCAGAAGTCTTATGCTCAAAGCCCATTTTCTGACCACAAACACCTA